ACAGCACAGGTTCTCCTTTGTCCTGAGTCCTCACTGACCTTGAAAGGCTAGGGCCAAAATGTTGGCTGTCCTTGCAGCCTTCTTTTTCTCTAGTTTTTGGTCTGCAGAATTAAGTTGTTAACCCTCCAGGATAAGCTTAATGAGATTATTCCCCCAGAACATAGGCAGTTGGGCTTAACCTCACTATCTGTCTGAATATTACACATCTTAGACATAACATGTCTCATTTTTAAATGAACAGAGGTATTGTGTATTGAGCCTTTCATAAGCTTAATTTTTTTCTGGTATCTCAGTAGACTTATTGAAATCTTGATCATTATTTTCTAATCTCTTTTTGCTTCAGTTTGAATATTACCTATTGACTCTTTCTTGTTTATCTAATTTATTATCTGTACTTCTGCAAGTATAATTAAATGACCTACTTAGTTACTACTTTTAAATATAATTTATGAATTTACATTTGTAATTTACCTTCATCTTTCATGTTGTTTTCTCTAATTTTTTCTTTCATTATTGTCCATATACTAGTTGTAAGTTTCTATCATGTAATTAAGTTTTTACTGATCTCTTGTCTATTTTATCTTTGTTTTCCATTCCATCATGAGATTTTTTTTCTTTTATTGTGAGTATCTATTTTAAACTGCCTAACATAATGTACATAGATGAATCCTAAAGATCTGAGATAATGTTTTATTTCTCTTGAGATATTTCTCCTTTCGACAACTACACAGATAAAATGTTGGCAGAACTGCTTGTTTCACTCTATACCAAACTGAATCTGAACTATAACTTCTAACATGTTCAGTCTGTGTATGGTATTTATCTGGTCCACTCTGCATATTTTAGACTGTAATTCTAATTTACAATCCATAGTTCCTCCATTATCTTCAAAGTCATTTTGCAAGGCTGCCAAACATTTTTCTTACCCTGTGTTTTCTTTCTTTTCATTTATATTTTAGCTTTGTACAGAATTCATCAAATACCCTAGCAGAAAACCTATCCACATGTTTGATTGTGCTTACTGCTAAGCTCTGCTGATTTCTAAATTCTTAAGAAGTAGCCTTCTATCAGGTTAAAATAAAAATCGAAGCATCTTGCCCCACACAAAATCAGCAAAGGCCTGGAGGGGTTGGCCTCTCTGAAGGTCAAATCTTCCCTTAGGAGTGCACCTTTCTACAGCACTCATTCCTGTAACAGGTCTCTGCTGCTTTGAACTTGCTTCTGTTTGAAATTTACACACACACACACACACACACACACACACACACACTACACTACCACCACCATCACCTCCATGACCTAATGCATATATATATATATTCATATTCATCTCATGGTCAATCTAAAAGACTTCTCAGGTGTACTTGATTTTTACTTTTATGTATTTGGTTGTTACAGGGTTTCACTACACAGCTCTGACTCATGGTGATCCTCCTGTTTTCAGACTCCGCAGCACTGCGATTATAGGCATGTGTTATATTATGCCTGGACTCTGTCGGGCTCAGCCTGCCCTGGGGGTGGAGCTGGCATGTCATGTGGTGCCAAGGATTAAACCCTGGTCCCTGCCTTTGCCTAAGCAGACACTTAGTCCACTGAACTATCTTGCTGGCCCCTCTGCGGTCAACTTTAAAAGAATGATCCAATTTATTCATTTTTCCAAGTGAATTTTGGTTTTGCGCTTTTTTTCTTCTTTTAGTAAGAAGTGAATTTAGGCAGTTGGGTTATCTGGAGATGACAATAGATCCTATTAGAAACCTTGATTGGTGGTGACAGCGGAACTGGCATTGCAGTGGTAGGAAGCCAGTGCAGGACTTGAACCCAGCAGTAATGTCAGAACTGAACATACAAATTTGATAGACATATGTGCAAAGACGGTGGCTTAAAGTGTGACAGCCAATGTCATTTTCAAGTGAAATAATGAAGATATATTAGTAAAAAGATTCAGGGCTTCTGTGCCTTACTTTAGTGGTACTGTAAGGAAGTAGAAAAGCAAAACAAAAAGAATCAAAGAAGTAAGAAAACAAGCAGGTTAATTCAATAAGTTCCGAAGAAAAATAAGGGGAAAGAGGAAACAGCTGCCTATATTGCTGGATTTTGGGGAGCATTTCATTTGCTTCTTATTATCAGTTAAATATTTTATTTTATACCATCAAGCAATGTCTTGAGGCTTAGTTGAGAATTAAACTTTTCCTGAGTAGGTCAGTAATAGCTAATAGAGGTTGTCTTACACTGCATATATTTTAAAGTAAGGAAAACAAAATAGTAAGAAAAACAAAATTATATGTATATATAATATATATGCTATATAAAATTATTCTTATATACATCATTCTACATAGCATGGGCAACTAGCTTTATGAACTTGCTCCTTGTAGCCTACAGTTTATGGCAGGTTTTATCTTTCTCCTGTATCTTACAGTCTAAATGAATTATTCATTTAGAAAATATCCAATATTTGGAAATTTTCCTTCCAATTGAATTAATGCTTACATTAAAATTTGCATTTATGCCATTATATGTAAAGGGTAATATGGTGAGAAATTTTTATCACCTCTCATTGAGTTAAGAGAGCAACTTATTGCCTAAGAAGGCCATATTCTTTAAGGCTTTTTATATTGCAAGTTTTTGAAGCAATATATTTTGAGATTTCAGGAGCAACTATTAAAATTATTAAAAAGTGAAACAGATTTCTAGAAGTTGCTTCTGAAGGTGTTCATTTTGAAAATACATATCACCGGCTATAATTAATTACTTTGAGCTGTGCTTAAAGCTGTCTTACCACGTACAATGAAACCTTGGAGATGGGTATCTGTGTCTCAAGTTTCATATATTTAAATAAAAATAAATTGGACTTTATGTATAAAATACTCCCCTGGTATTTTCCTGCATGTTCTGTATGCTTATTGTTTTATTTTTTAAAAAAGACATATATCATTCACATACATTAAAAATGGAGATATCAGAATAGTCATTTGAAGAAAAGTATTAGGATATAATTTCAACCCAAGTTAAATACAATTTTATCACAACTAATCTAGCAATCTTTTGCATCTAAAAAAGACCACCGTTTTGCCAGTGTGCTGCCATTAAAAATTATCTCATGCATTTTATTTTCCTAGGTGACGAACTGAGAAGATGAATATAGATAATATATATGTTTTACCTTTGCCATGCATTTTGAAGTTAAAATTACTCCAAAACAAATATCATATCATTCTTCTTTTCCAATTAACTAAGTTGGTGGATGAAATTTGCTACCATTTTTTCTCCATTTACTATGTGATCAGTAGAATCAGAACTGCCAAGAATAATTCAACAAAATCATACATCTGTTGGAAGAATTCTCAGCGCTGTTAATCGGCGCAAAACACACCCCGCACTGAAGGCTTGTTCTACACGGAAACTTGAATATCACAAAACTTCTCTAACATAAAGAACTCAAAATCGCAATAATTTGAATAATCATACAAATGACGTTAGGAAATCGAGAAGCAGACTGTGTGGAGGTAAGAAAACGGATCTAGGGAAGAGAGAGGAGCAGAGCGTGCAGGGGGCGGAGCGGGCAGCAGTGATTCAGATGTGGCCTGTATGTGCACCGGCAGCCCAAGACTCGGTGCACCTCGGAGTGCCCAAGTGAAACAAACAAACAGCAACATAAAATAAAGAACTCTGTGGTCTGGTGAACTACTTTAGTCCCACAGGATTTTTAGATATCAACCTTACAACTGTTAACGTGATGATGATGATGATGATGATGATGATGATGATGATGATGATGATTACTGTTATTTTGGATTTTAGGGAAGGCTTTCCAGGGTGTTCAGGGTCTCACTGTGAGATCGGACTCCTAGTGAGCCGCCTGTTTACAGCCTCCCAGGAGCTGGGATTACAGGCGCGCCACCACGCACAGTCTCAATCGCCCTCTCAACGGTCCCGGGGGCAGGGCCGGCACAGCAGGCCTGGGCATCGAACTGCTGGTCCCTGCGCCTGCTTGCAGGTGCCTTAATCCGCTATTTGGCTAGCCCCTATTCTTCTTCTTCTTTTTTTTTAATCTTGACAAAATATACACCCTACAAAGGCAGTGATTTAGTTTCTGGGGAGCATATTTCTTCCTATTCTTCTCTTACCTCCTCTTTTTCTCTTCTCTCCTCTTATTCCTCCTCCTTCAACTTTTTTAGCCTTTAATACCATGTGAGCATCTCTGAGCTTCAATAATATCAGAATATTTGGGGAGCATTTTTGTTTTACATAGAAGCATCCAAAAGAACACATTGCAATTTTTCTTTCTAAATTAGTAGGAAGTATAAGTTTAAATTCTCTAAAGAATCAAGTTTTATTCCTATTTTGAGTGGATCACCTAACAAATATTTGATGTTCTTTAAGTTTCCCTGGAAGGACAGTAGCTTTAGAATCAGAAGCTACATTATTTCATCAGCAAAGAAACTCATGTGAAATATATGATAGCAATACACACATGAACACACATATTTAAAAAGAAATCTTAGTGAAAAAAGACAAATGGTTTCAGCCTTTTCTAAACTATATTAGGGTCATGTATGTTACTCTTTTCAGTGATAAATTACACAGCAATGGTAACAGTTCCATTCAGCTCAAACCCCTTCATTGTTGGAATGATGGCGTTACTATTTGAGGTCACTAAGGAACGTGCTTAGCAGAAAAATAAGCAAACTAAGTGATGTAAAAGATCAAGATATTCCACTCTGAAGATCTCCTATTCAGCTTCAGAAATCTCTCAGTTAACATTAGAAAAAGCACACCACATGATCATTGGAATAGGTGTTCACATCAGTTTTACTTAAAACCCAAAACCTATTTCTACAACTCAGAAAGCATGCCTCTGACGCAGAGATGTAAAGCAGGACCCCTTTCAACTGACCTTCATGCACGGGCTCCAGGGGCCCGAGAGCACAGTGCAGCTGCCTCGCTGAAGAAGCGCTTTGGAGACAGACTGACTACAGGCAAATCAGATGGGAAATTACCTTTGAGAGGTCCCCAGCCTCCAGGTAGAAGCAGATGACAAACACATTCCATGTAGCCCAGAGGACCAGCCAGACCGCGTACTGTGCAGAGGGAAGAGAGAAGAAGACGTAATTAATGTGGAGTCATTTGAGCAAGATTCGAACAGAACTTCAACTTCTGAACTCCCAAATCATAAAGTCAGAGGGAAATCTGAGATATTACTTGTAAGGAGAATGATTGTATTTACATTTATCTCTCTGCTGAGTTTTTTCTCATCATTACTGATTCTTGTTGTACTGCGCTCAAACTCGCTGAAGGATAATTTTTAGACAATAGAATGACAACAGAAGCAGTATCTTACATTTCTGCTTTAAGGATGAATGGCTTCAAACTCTAGACAAGCATTTTAAAAATACGGATGCTCCTATAGACACATCAAGTATATAAAAAAGAAACATCATTTTTATTTCGTAAAAGCGCCCTTACACAGCACAGCACGCGTTTCTCCTCGTTATCTGAGGCTGCCTTTGGAGCAGTCCTTGCATCTTGCCCCTATAGTCAGCACTCTCTCTTTGGCGTCCCGTTTTCATCTCTACTTGTCTTAACATCTTATTCCCCCACCCTCTCCTATGATGGTGGACATCTACGTTGTTGTCCTAACTTGATTCAGCTGTCTCTCTGCTGTACTCTCTGAGATGTTAACACATTTTCCAACCCTGTTGTATGGTTTTCTCCTGTGATTCATCATTCAGTCAGCTAAAATTTCTTAAGTACCTAGATCACAGTGCATTGCAAAGATATTGAAGACAAAAATGAAGGATAAATTCTTCTTGATTTTAGGTGAGAGAATAGTCAGGAGAAAAAGATGAATACCCAATGGGAATCTAAAATGATAGATATAATCCGCAAAAACCAAGGAAGGGGCTGCCGTACCCAGCCCAGCCTGGGCCCAAGTCCCATAAGCCCAGAGAGCGGTGGCTACCTCGAGGGAACAAGGACTTACAGACTCAGCCCAGCCAAAGCGAGCTGTGGGAAGGGGGCGGCAGGGCAGCACTCCCCCTGGAGGGAATCGCAGCTGTGAATTTATAAAATACACAGGACAAGAGAAAATCTTGTCAGCTTCTTGGTAGATGAATCCCTGTGGATCTCATCTTTTCTATGGTGAGTTTCAAATCTTCATTTTATTGTTTGAAACACTCCAGGATCGTGTGCTGTGCTAGCTCTAAACTCACATATTTCCGTTTGTTTCCAGAGCAGTCCTGTAAACCTCACACTTTGCTTGCTTGCTGCTCTGTGAATTGGAAACTTATGTCCTCCGCATGTGTCTTTTTGTGTGCTAATTCCTTCCTTCCTTCTTGAGTGATTTTCACTTCTCTCAGTGGTCCGCTTACCACCTGCCAATATTTATTATTTAGAAGTCAATTCAACTATTGCCTTGTGAGTTACTCCCAGACAGAACTGGTAGAGACCAGCTGAACACTTTAGTAGATGTGCTAATTCTATTCTAAAGGCATAATCTAAATATTTGCTCACTTCTTCACTGCACAAAGAGAACTTCCTCGAGAAAAGGGTCTTTCACAAACTTCAGCCGTATCACTAAATTCCCAACTTTGTATTTTGGATAAAGTAGGTCTTCGGAAAATGGTATTTTGAAATTAATGAATTAATGAGTAGTGGCATGGAGAAACCCTTAGTATTTTCCAGAGCGGGGCCCATTTGTCGCTTTTGGAGCCAGCTCTTTGGAGAGGGCTCGGTCCCCTGTGTGGTGAGGAGGGATCCCCTCTCCTGGGACCTGGATTGCTGGGCGCTGACTCAGGATTGCCTGAGGTGAGCTAGTCTTCTATCTGCTGGACCAGCGTGGCTCCCACTCAGCACAAAATGAAAACCAAAAGAACAGGGCAGAACAAAACAAGAGATATGAGAGGCTGTCTGAGGGGAGGGCTGGGAATTAAAGAGAACGTGGCACCGGAAATAGCACACACTACAGCAAAGGGGGAATTTCAGTTAAAGAACCCAGATCAAATGAAACACTTAAATGTCAATATTACAAAGTACATTCATGTTGCCAGACTTCAAAAACACTAAATTCTAGAGTTCTCTAAGTATTTTAGAAATGTAATGAAGAAGCAGGTGTGGCAGTGCATGCCCAAGCTCCCCTCACTGTGTGGGGCCAGAATAGGAGGACTGCACATTTCAGGCCAGGCTGGGCATATAGTGAGAACATGTGTTTAAAAAATCCCCTAGCTGGGCTTGGTGGTGCATGCCTGTGACCTCAGCACTCGGGAGACTGAGGCAGGAGAATCCTTGTGAGTTTGAGGCCAGCCTGAGGCACAAAGTGGGCTCAAGGCCAGCCTGAGCAGCATAATGAGACTCTGTCTCAAAAAGACAAAAACAAAGTAAATAAACAAATAATCCCTAATAATAACAATATCCGTAAAATGCTAATAATCAAGGACTAAACATGCAGCTCATTGTGAAGACTGGGCTCAGTTCTCACCATGAGGCTCGGCGATCTATCCAAGTAAAGTGCACAGATACATAAAGGTAACGAGGCAAGAAAAACTGTACCTAGGGGATTTAGTCATTTGATTTAAGGAAGAAAAGGTGAAAGAGTGAAAGAATGAAGGAGGGAGAGAGAGAGAGTCAGAGATCAAGAGAGAGAGAGAGAGACAGAGACAGAGAGACAGACAGTGACAGAGACAGAGAGACAGAGACACAGAGACAGAGAGATCAAGTGAGCACCAGTCAGGAAGATTATAATATTTTATCATGTTCTTTATTCATAGTGAATCATTCTTACTTTATTTGCAATGGACAGCTGACTAAGCTATTTACTATAAACCCCAGCAGCTGGGTAGTAGATTGTTTGGAAAGATCTGATGAAAGATACCATACTAAATGCACCAAGATCATCCACATGGCTGACACTGACAAAGGTTCTACAATCTGAGGTACAGGATCTCAGGATAAATCCTGAGGGAATTTCACTGACCTTCTCAGACCAAAAAGCTACAACTCTTGTTGCATAGGTCCTGCTTTACCTTGGTCTTAACCATCCAGTAGAAAAGTATGAAGACGAAATATAGGAAGTAAAGCCATGTTGTTATGTTGAGCTGTGGGGGACTCAGGTCAATAATTTCTGACATTGCCAGTTAAACAGAAGACCCAATGCTATTACGGGCTACTGGACTCTTTTAGAATATTTTGCTGAGTATACACACATAATATTCAATAACGGAACTTAACAAAAAAAGGGGATACAGATGAATGTCCATTTTGTATCTGTGTATTCAACGTGGTTGGGATAAATATATAGTTACGTTCTGTTAATGAATAGAATGATTTGTTCTAATGGTGTTTGTAAATAGGATATCATGTCCGCATTTTGTACAGCAATTAACCACTAAGAAGAATGTATGCAGTGTGCTAATTATTGAAACTGTCCTACCAATTTGATTTGAAACTGTCTCATTGCTATTTGTTTATCAATAAAATTATGGCAAAATAAATAAATAAGTAAATAAATCAATAAATGCACCAAGAATCCCTCAAAGCTTCTCACTTGTGAGCACACTTCCTGATACAGCCTGAGACAGTACCAGTGCTACAGTGTTAATCTGTAACAAGTGAAATTATATATTAATCTAATTATATTCCAATCACCTGCATATGTGTGCTGCATAGGTCATACCAATGACCTTATTAATAATATACATTTAATACAAAATAAGAATTTGAAATGTTCTTCCAAGTTACATATCTTTTTATTTTCAATAATTTTATTGAGAAACAAATAGCAATGAGACAGTTTCAAATCTGATTAGTAGGACAGTTTCAATAATTAATACATTGCATATTGTTGTCTTAGGGGTTATTTATTGTACAAGATGCAGACATGATATCCTGTTTACAAACACTATTAGAACAAATCTTTCTATTCATTGAATTAAGAGAATGTAGCTGTGTATCTATCCTATTTTGAATATAGAGATACAAAATGGTCATTCATTTGTATCATCTTTTTTTTTGTTTTGTCAGAGAAGGGTATTCTATTGTCATTTAAATATTATAGGTGCGTGAACTCAGCAAGATTTTCCAATATAGTCCACTAGTCCATGATAGTAGTGGGTTTTCCGTAAGACTGGCCATGTCAGACGTTGTTGACTTGAGCTTTTACAGCTCAGCATATTAATATGGCTTTACTTTTTATACTTTTCTGCTGGATGTTTAAGACCAAGATAAAGCAAGACCTATATAACAAGAAATGTAGATTTTGTATCTGATAAGGTCAGTCAAATTCCCATCTTTTGTATTCTAGTTACATTTATGTGACAATATTAATGTAGAAACACTTACTTTCATTGAAAAATGAGGCTTATGACCATGTTTTTCAAAACAATAATTTTGGGGCTGGCCAAGTAGCTCAGTGAATTAAAGCGCTTGCTTAGGCAGATGCAGCGGCCAGCCGTTCAATCCCCGGGTCTGCCATGCCAGCCCCTCCTCTGGGGTGCACTGAGACGGTGATTAAGATTGGGCGTGGTGGCACGTGCCTATAATCCCAGCACTTGGGAGGCTGTAAGCAGGAGTATCACTACAAGTATGATCTAGTAGTGGGACTCTGAACACCCTGTCCTAAATACAAAAATAAAATAAAATAAGTCAATAATTTTGTATAGGGACATGTTAGATAAGAGGTTGAGTACAAGTTCATCGCATAGAGACTCAGAACTTGAACTTTGTCAGTTAGAAGTTCTGAGGATCCAGGATGTCACTGCACTGAGTTTCCTCACATAATACAGCTTATTAGCAGTGGGGAACTCATGGACCTCTATGAGGATGGAAGGTGCACCGCCCGGAAGTATTTGGCAAGTACTCGAAGCACTCGAACGCCCCATGCAGGCTGCCAGTTTGTTACAATGACTGCTCCACACCGTCATCTCTGAGCATTGCAATAGTACAGCAGTGATCCCCAGAGGACCCCTAAAAACAGATTTCCTTCCTTAACGCCTGCGAAGTATTGATGCATGAAATGGGTCGGGCAGCCTGGACTTCCTCCCTTACTGTGACTTGCTTTTCCCTGGGTAAGGAGACAAGCTCCTTT